AGTGACATATAGGTAACTGGTGGCCAGTGCCTGAGTCTGCGCCTACGGGTGTTATCAGCCTCAATGGAAGCGGCTGCATGGACCCCGTCTCCCATCCCATCCCATATCCCGAGCCATAGACCACCTGGTCACAGCGAGCACTTGACCAGGATTTGAACACATCAAAATGATAGGAACGGTAGTTTGGAGCTTAGCACGGACATCACGACCAGAATAGTCGCCGAGGGCTCTCTTAACACCTGTCCCAACATAAAATAATGTTCAAGAGCGGTCTGCTGTAATCGAACACCAGAACGGGAAAGTCGCCATTATGCAAACAACACGGTAACCGTATAAATTATTCAAGTATCGGCATCGTCGGTCATCTCCGAACATAGTACAACGTGACTAGAAAATTCATTCCCGGAATCTTACCCAACACCTGTCGCACACGCAATCGCTGTCGCCACTGAACTAAGCCACATGCACAGGTGAAAACGTCCGGTAAACAGCACAGCTTAAATGGCCACACAAATGCATTCAGGTCATGAAGACTTTTCGGTCACACGCCTAAACATGCCCACCATACAGTTTACACAACATTCATGCGAAGCAATCTGCAAGCGCCCACATGGCGTCAGACGCTAAATTGTGCGCATTTCACAGCAGCAGTTTGCTGACAAATATAAGTTGAAAGGGAAACATCTTGTATTTGACAGGTGCACACGGAATTACTGAGGCTAAATCAGCCTGTGTGCCTAATCTCACTACCACTCAACCGAAAGATCATAACTGCATGGGAAGAGGATGAGGGCAACACTCCCCAAGATAAAGCAACGCGTTTTCCACTATGAGAAGCTGGATACACAGGACGTTGTCGTTAAAGGGTAATAAATACTATTGAAATAATTGCCAATTCGTAGTTTTCGATGTCTACATACCACGACAGTTCGACCATCGATTTCTATGATATCCACCGTGTGCTTCAAAGTATGGTGGTGCGGGGACGGCGACTTACGCTAGAATTAGAAGTGATAGTATGTTTGCGTTGAAGCTACCATACTTTCTCTTCAATCGCCCACCCGCGCCCGGTTTCGGGGATATAAATAAACGAACTAGCCGAAGGCATCTCTTCCCGTTAATCTAGTTGCTGGCTACCGACGTGCCCATCGGTGGCGGATAGTGGAACCAGTAGCGGCAGTGTTACCAGGGCGCGGCGGGCTGAGGCCTGGCAAGCCAAACAAGTTTCCCAAAGCCCGACGACGGCGCTGTAACATGGCGAGCGGGAACCGCCATTAAATAAGTTCGCGTGCTGCCGTTGCCTTGTGGGACTCGCTCATACTCAAAATTTCCAAGTCACCTCAGGAAATCTAAGTCCGATACCTACACCACGATCCATGCTACGACGTCCGCGGGAACCGACGCGCTCCGCTACCCTTGTCCAGTGGTACGGACGAATAGTGTGCGAGCTGGACTATTCAATCGAAATCAGACCCCTGGTATTGGATGCTGGAATGTACGAAAGTTCCTGGTCCCTGCTATCCAAAGCCTGACGGTGCGCAGCCTTTATCAGTACAACATAGATGTCTGTTGCCTGTCCGAAGTCCGACTTCCTGAATCAGGCGCTCAGGACATAAAGGTTCGAGGAGCTGACTCCCACTTCACCTTATACCACAGTGGCCCACATGACTCCTCCGGCAACAGGCGAGCCGTGCACTACTTGTCCGGGAACCAGTCAATGAACGCTTGGTTTATGTGCGCTTGGAGGGCCGCTTCACAAACGTTTCTGATGACTGGCGCTCAGACATCCTTGTGCCTGTCTACAAGAAGGGAGATAAGGCAAGATGTGAGAACTACCGCGGCATAAGCCGCATCGACATTGCTGCGAAGATATTCGCCATTGCCAATAGAATTGAATATGCGAGTTCCAGGAAGCAGTTCAGAAGAAGAAGCGACCACTGGAACAAGAGTTTTATTGTTCTGACGTTTCGGATTCCGTCGGGAATCCTTCATCATAGAAAGTCGCATGTCTCAGACTTTTCTACGAGTAAGGATTCCCGACGGAATCCGAAACGTCAGAACAATAAAATTCTTGTTCCAGTGGTTGCTTCTTCTTCTTCTTCTGATCTTCGCCATTGTTCTCCTCAGGCGGTTACAGTCTGCGCGCGGCTGGAGGACGCGACCCAACCAGGCCGGATTTCGCGCTGGGCGTGGATGTGTGGTCCAGATCTTCACACTGAGACGGATCCTTGAATTCTGCCATAGCTACCAACAACCAACGGTCATCCGCTTTGACTTGGCTGCTGCGTTCGACTCCTTCCATTGCAACTCCCTGTGGCGGATAATGGCATTTGATGGTGTACCACCAAAAATAATCGCCATGATCGAGGCACACTACGGCTCCACCACTGCGCGCGTTCTAGTCCACAACAACCTCTCAGAACCCTTTGCTATTTGGTCTGGCATTCGACAAGGCTGTGTTCTGGCGCCCATCCACTTTAACTATGTCATTGACTGGGTTCTCGGGAAGGCCCTACGGGGAAATGATGGTATTGAGCTCGCAACCGGGCACTGGTTGACTGATCTCGACCATGCCGATGATATCGCTTTACTAGCTTCAAGCTTTGGCGATCTACACTCTATGGTGTCACGGGTGAACGAGGTCGCGAAATCGGTCTGTATGTCCATAAACGCTGGGAAGACCAAAGTGTTTCCATGCTGCATTTCTGTCCAAGAGAAGGCACCTATCGAGATTAGTGGCTGTCAACTTGAAGAATCCGAAAGTTTCAAATACCTCGGAGCGAGGTTGCTGCCGAATAGATAGATTAATCTTCCGAATTGATGCTGCACGACGAGTCTTCTCCAGCTTTCGGAACTGCTTGTGGACCCGACGCGATATTTCTATCGCCACAAAGACCCGGGTGTACCGTGCATTTATGTGGTCCGTAAGGCTATGTGCGTGGAAGATGAACAGAAGCTGGAAGTCTTTGAGCACTACTGCTTGAGGATCATCCTTCGAGTGAAGTACACCGACTTCGACAAAATCACAAGGATATCCCAGGCCATTCAGGAAAGACGACTGAAATGGTTTGGACGCGTTCTTCGTCGACAACTACAGGAGCTCAGTGCTACTGCCTTCGACTTGAAACCGTTACCTTATTGGAAACTTCGAAGAGGGAGTCAACTCAAAATCTGGCTCGACTCAGTCCGTCAGGACATGAAAGTGTTTCTTGGACTTTCGGTATTCGGTCTCCGGCGCTGTAGAAGAAACTGGGTAGAGCTCTCCAGGTCCGCTGCCGCTAATCATCACGCATGGAGAGGTACCGTCCGTGACATCATCGAGGCCGCCTTTATCAGGCATGATCACAGCCGTAACAAGTACAAATACAAGGGAGCAAGACAGATTCGAGAATGCCGCAGGCGGGAGCGGGCGCAGGCCGCCGGAGGCTCGACTTTAGCATAACAACTAGCATATGCTGTACCTTTAATAAATACATGCAAGACAGAGTAAATATCAGGTGAAAAAAACTGAGCTTAAAGATATGCGCAAAACGG